TACACTCGCTAGCCAGACCAGGCAAATACCCTGAATGGAGATGAAAAAAATGGTGTTCACATGATAACCAACTGCATGTCTCATACCGTGACTTCTTCCTGATAAATTCTGTGTGGACGTCGTTCTGCGGAAGCACAACACTATTTTTTCTGTGTACAAAGACTATTCACGAGCAGAACAGCGAGAGTACGCTAAAACATCTACAGTGCCTGCTGTGTGTCACCTCACGCTACTTTGTCGCGTTTTTCTTTGAGACATTCAATTAATCAAGGACAAGCATACTGGTTGGTTAACTACATCTTAGAAAAACTGTGTCCTGGAGTGACGTAAACGTTTTGCCCGGAAGATATATATCGATGGACGCATCTCCTCTGACAGGTCACTGCTTCGAGACGCTTCTGGCGTGGCTGCCTCAGCATTTTCTGTGTTCATTCCAGCTCGGTTTTTGCAGTGAGATTCCCTGCAGCCGTCCACGCTGCTTCTCCCCTTACCAGCAGCTCACATGCTCATGACGATGAGCTGGGCTGTCACCGCTTGGCCGCCGGTGGGGGTTTGGGAGGCCTGCGCGCTACTTCGTTCATCTCCTCTGACAGGTCACTGCTTCGAGACACTTCTGGCGTACCTGCCTTGGCACTTTTCTGTCCTCATTCCGGTTCGTTTTTTTCCGTGAGCTTTTCCTGGCGCCGTGCACGCTGCTTCTCCCCTTACCAGCAGCCCAAATGCTCACGACGATGAGCTGGGCTGTCACCGCTTGGCCGCCGGTGGGGGGGTTGGGAGGCCGCATCACACACAGACACCCACAAACTGCCTCAACTTACACGAGCACACACATACGCAGACTCATTTCCACACGGACATAGATACACGCACAGAAACCCACACACTACCTCAACTCACTCGACTTAACACTTCACACTGCACACTTAACAGGTAACTCGCACTCTGACTTCCTACGTGATGAAAAATGCTTTCGGGCCACTCGTCGTCTAGTTTTTGTAAATGTGTACCTTGGCCTCACCGTGGCTACATCTCACCTGCGTAGGGTCGGCTATGGGCGGTACACTTGTGGAAGGCTGCAGGTCTGCTGCCATCACGTGGCGCCACGACTGGATGTCAAAAAGGGTTTGTGCCACCCCTCTGTTGCTTGGAGCGCTTCTGCAACAACAGGGGCAATTGTGTTGCGGGCTGGCACGTGGATCGGGCCTCAAGAATCATCACGACGTGAAAAGCAGATGTGTGAAATAGTTGACGCAGTGTGACGGTGGACTAGGCCCCATTCAGGCCCCAAACAGTTTGACCGGGCGGCCGTGCTCGATGAAAAAATGAGATTCCTTGCGCCGTAGCTTTGGGTTTGCACTCTCTTGCGTGCCTCCTTCTCAAGTTGGCTTCTTCGGTTGCCATAATGTCGGTGTTTGCACGCATGAAACTGGATATGGTGTTCTTAAGAGCGCCTGTGCGTTGGCAGCCTGTGGCGGACACAGGCACAAAAAATTATGTGCCAATGCCTAAGAAACGCATACCCAACCACCTGGAAATCTGGCCTCAAACATAATCGTCCATGTTAAAGAAGATTAGAGACTACACATTATCGGGTTGTGCGGTTTTGGATTAAAATTCACTGAGCTTTCATCCTAGGTCCTAAGAGTCCGGTCATCAACTGGCGCTTAGCCGGCTACGTGCAGAACCCCAAGTTCAAAATCCACCACCTCAGAGGTTTGGAATGGTTGCCTCCAAATCGGGGCTGTGAGGGTCCTATGGCCCGAACACCTTTCCAAATCCAGGGCGCCCAACTCAACGGTTTGGATCTGTTGCTTCTCGGTTGCAGTTCTGCCAAGGACTGCTTGCCCCAGGGCATCAAACAGTTTTGTTGACGAGTGTAGGGTTTTGTCGCCTGTTGGGTGAGCAGTTGTCCTTGTGCGACACATTCGCCCGTGGGATGAAAACTGCCGGAACAAACAGTAACAATTAACCACATACACTGGGCCAACAATGCCTCCGAAATTTGTAGTTGGTATCAGCATCTCCTTTTATAGAATCAGGTCGCCTGGGTGGTCCCCAGCTACCGTTTCATAGCACTATAGAATCGAAATGAATCGAATCCCTCAGGTTCCTCAATTTTAAAAGGCGCCACGGGATATTTGCGACAAGGGTGCAATTTGATCTAGTTGACCTGTGGTGGTGATTCCAAAGTGTTAGAACTTGAACGATACTCTCCTTGAACTTTGTACTGCCAATTGTCCAAAGCATTCGGCATATGGCGCGCTTTGCGCCAACAGGGCATGTAGCTTGAGAACAACATTTTGCGAATTGTGGCAGATGGCCGTTGGAACCACCGTGGAGATCTTGTACTGTGCTCGACTTGTTTTCAGTCCTCCATTATCACGGAAGCTTGAGCCGTGTGGAAATTGAAGAGTTCAACTACTTAGGGCCCGAGACCAGTACACCCCGCAGGGTCCTGGAACCAAAAGGCCTTGGGTTCGGACATGGTACCGTCCCCAGGGGCCATGTAGGACCACTCTATACATGATCGTCTGGGCACTATTATATTATTATTGCTTAGAAAACGTATGAAAACGTCATGCCAGACCTCTTCAACAAAAATGAGGACACAATCTTGCCCATGGAGGGGCAAGTGATGTGTGTTGTTCCGCAGTGCCGCATTTGCAATGATTTGCCTATTGCAGGTGGCTTTGTTTTCGTGAGCGCCGAACATCAAAACATATCCCGGCAAGAGGCCCCAAACAGTGTGTGTGTGTGAGAGGTCTATAAGCAGAAAGTCTGAAGATCTAGACGCGTTGGGGTCCAGAGAGGCGACGCTTGCCACGAAATGTACATTTCGAGGTGGACAAAGCAGTACGCCTGCCACGAACTCTGCGCTTCGAGGTTCACCAATTGCTGCGCCTGCCACGAAGCTGCACTAGTGCTTCACCCGCCATGAAATCTGCGCCTGTCACGTCAAGTCGGCGTTGGGCTACCAAAACACGAGGTGTCCCGTGCGTGTAAAAGTAAACAGTTGGCCAGCCCCTTTTTGGAAAGGGCAAAGGCTAGTCCTTTTGGATTCGAGGCAAAGCAGGTGGCTAGCCCCTGCAGGCCGCATATTTATCCAGCTGTGGCCAAGTGGAGCAATTCATAGCATCACTACCCCCTTGCGGTGCCTGACCCTCCAGGGGGGGTCAAATTTGTAACTTACAATTTTTATTTTGCGAAGATCGCATTATACAGCCCTATAGGGGAGGTGAAAATTGTGGCATGATGCAACCGGCGAAGCACACACCGTCACTCAAGCCGAAGGCGGAGAACAAGGCGACCCGCTCATGCCAGCCTTGTTCGCGTTGGGTCAGAGATCCGCCTTGCAAGCTGTACAAGCGCAACTCCGACCTGGGGAACACCTTTTTGCTTCTTGGACGACATCTACACACTGGTCCAACCAGCCCGTGTCCGCCCAGTCTACGACCTTTTGGAAAAGCATCTAAGTGCTACGGCCCATATCCAGCTCCATCGCGGCAAGGCCAGAGTTTGGAATGCCTCCGGCGTGCAGCCGCCAGGTTTAACCAGTCTGGGGGCCGACGTGTGGGTCGGGGACCAGGGGTTGCCAGCAGCAGAGCAAGGCATGATCATTTTGGGGGCGCCCTTGGGATCTGACGTTTTCACCGGCCAGCACCTCAACAATCTTTCAGCCACCCATCAAGAGCTCCTGTCTCGTCTCCCAGAATTGCAAGACCTGCAGGCTTCTTGGCCTCCTCCTGCTCTTTTGCGCCAGCCCTCGCTCCAACTACATCTTGCGGATGTTGCCGCCACCAGCTACCGCTGAGTTCTCCACACGCCATGACCAAGCCGTTGCCACGACAGAATTGCTGCAGAGCGGGCCCCTCCCAGTCAGTGCTTTGGCCCTCGCTCATTTGCCCTTATCCGAGGGCGGGTTAGGCTTGACCGCCGCAACCATCAATGCCAATGCTGCGCATTGGGGGTCCTGGGCCGACACCCTCCCCGTCCTCCAGCGACAGCTTCCCAGCCTGGCCCACCCCATCACCGCGACCCCACCAATGCATCCCCAGCCACCCAAGCAGCAGTGGCCGCTGCACAAGCCCTTCGGATTTGCGATTGGGAACCCCCTTCGTGGGACACCCTAATCGGCCACAACGGGCCACCCCCCAGCCGACCCCGAGCCAGTGGGCAGGCAGCACCGAGGATGGCAGCAGCCCGCCGCCAAGGCCACCCACCAAGCCTGCCGGGCCGAGGTGTACAGCCACCTGCCGCCAGCGGCGGTGTCAGGTTTAGTGTCTGCGCCAGCTGCCAAATCAGCGCTGACAGAATCAATGGCGGCAAATGGGGCGGCGGGTGCTGCTCCAACTTCAACCGCCCCAGTGCCAGGCTTGTCAAGTTCGCCGACAAGTGCTAGTGCTACTGCTACGGCTGGACAACCTTCTGCTTCAAAGAGCTCCTCCGTGGAACTCCGCGCAACCACAGGTCTGAAAAGTCATCACCACACCGTCACCCACTAACACAAACTAAAGCCCCTCACCTAGTTCCATAGACCGGATCCCCCCATATAGACGCAAGTCACAACATAGCAATATCTGGCATTATCTGGCGAGGTCCGGCGGTGCCCACTGCGATCTGAATCTACCCCTTGAGGTCCGGCAACCCACTGCGATCGGGAACTGGCGGTTGAGGTCGTCAGTGCCCACTGCGACCTGGCGCTTGCTGAGGTTGTCCCACAGCTGTGCATCGCACCGCAAGCGTGTTTTCCACCACTTGCCACAGGCAAATTGTGGCGGCTTGCTTTTTTTGTGAATGCATTGTGAAGAGTATGGTTTCCCCACGCCCATGCAGCCATCGGGCTCCAGCCTCGGAGTTGTTGGTCCAAACTGTGCAGTTCAAACCGGCGGCAACTCCTTGGCAGATGCGTTTGGCACATTAGTTGGCAACACCGCGCATGAAGAGTTGGTCAAGCATGTGCACACAATTGGAACAGTGATATCTTTGGTTTCGGTGAGCAGATGGACCTGGACAGTGATGCAGAGGCTTGCTGGTTGTGTGTAGCACATTCAAACCTTCGCATGCCCTCGTCGTGCTGAAGACTGTGGCGTGATCCAGTCAAACAATAGTCAAACTAATTTATACTAATTTCATTTGCAACTGGCACATGCCGGCGCAATTGAAATTGTCGACCATTTCCCATACCATAGTTGCAGACTTTGCTGAACAAAATTTGTTGAACAGTCAAAAGCAATAGTGTCAGGCATGTGGTCAAAACGAGGGATGGAGGAATTAACTCTTGGCGTACCGTGGAATACGCAGCGTTTGCCTGAGCATAGTGTCCGAAATTTGAGGCAGTCCATCTAAATTGTGAAATTGGGGGTGTGAGGGCTGAAGCAGGGTTCGAGTGACAAACGCCACACCCGCTTCCAACTGGCAATGTTTCCAAAACAGGCTTTGCCCATACACCATTCCGACACTGTTGGTGTTTGCGCTGCACACCAGCATAGACCCAGATAGCTACGCAGAATCCCACGACCTGTTCGCAGCCTGCACAGCCAGCACCTCCACAGCGCGCACAATCAGCTGACACCAGACAACACCGGCAGCGGCGCCAGCACCAGCACCCAGGACCACAACACCAGCACCAGCACCAACACCCTTTCGAAAGCGCGCGCAGCCAGCTCATTCTTATTTGCAGCAAGAACCCCATAGTTATCCCTATTTGGGGAGTAACAAAGTATGATCTTGCGCGTGTAAGTTTATGCGCACAAAAGTATGCGTGCAAAGAGCAAAACCCGTAAGTGTCATTGGCCCAAGGCATCCCAAGGCCAAGCAGTATCCAGCGCCGCTATTGACTTTGTAGCATGCTTGAAGCAGAACGATACGCGCAAAAGTACGCGCACAAGCGGCAAAACCCGTAGGCTTCACTCGCCCAAGGCCAAGCAGTATCCAGCGCGACTATTGCGTGTGTAGCATGCTGAAACATGCTGAAACAATGGTCGGTTGAGAGCCTGACGTTGTGCATAGAACATTATACCTACAAAAGTACGCGCGCAAACAGTACACAGCTGTCGGCCAAAACAGAACCTGAAGAGTGTAAATACCCCGCAGCACTAATAGACAAAGAACGCTCAAACGACAACACCGCATGATGTTGCATCCATAAATGCATGCGGCCGATGACTGCTGGCGCTGGCACTTCATTGTCAGAAGCTGCGCTTGGTCGCCCTTCACTGCTGCAAACGGCGGTTTGTTGCCCTTCACTGTCAGAAGCGGCGGTTGTTATCACTTCACTGTCAGAAGCGGGCACCAGCACCGAGCACCGGCGCGCCAGCTCACGGCGCCCAGCACCCAACGCCGGTATACCCAGCACCAGCACCCGGCACCCAGCACCCAGCACCCTGTCTCCACCACGCGCACAGCCTGCGCCCAGCACCGGCGCGCAGTCTCCACCACGCGCACAGCCGCACAGCCAGCTCACAGCACCGGCCGCCCCTGTCTCTACCACGCGCATTGCCAGCACCCAGCACCGGCACCGCGTCTCCACCACGCGCGCAGGCAGCTCTTTTTCTATTTAAGTAAGAACCCCATAGCTTCGCTATCTGGGAAAAACCTCCCCTCACATATGCAAGCTACACCACCAGCACCAGCACCGGCACCCAGCACCAGCACAGCCAGCTCACAGCAGCACCAGCACCGGCACACGGCACCCAGCACCAGCACCAGCAACCTGCACAGCCAGCTCACAGCACCAGCACCAGGGCCGGCGCCTGGCACCCAGCACCAGTACTGTCACCAGCTCTCCGCCACGCGCACAGCCAGCCCACAGCACCAGCACCAGCGCCGGCACCCGGCACCCAGCACCAGCACCGGCACCCTATCTTCAGGGGCAAACGGAAGGGTAGCGCACAGAAAGGGTTTTGCAAAAACCTATTCTACTAACATCGTGGAAGGCGCGGGACATTCGTAGAACCCAAGGCTATTCGTGGACAGTTCGTGGACTGGTGGGCCAATAGGAAAACTGACTGCAACGAAACCCCAGGAACCTTCGCAGAACTTCGTGGAAGGTATTTTTGATGCACTAACTTCGTATACGCGATTTTTGCTGACCCCTTTTCTCCACACACCCTCCATTTAGCCTTCATATCTCCACCACGTGCACAGCCAGCTCACAATGCTCAGCACCAGCGCCAGCACCGCCACCCGGCACCAGCACCAGCAACCTGTTTCCACCACGCGCACAGCCAGCTCACAGCACCAGCGCCGGCGCCCGGCACCCAGCACCCGGCACCCAGCACCAGCACCGGCACCAGCAACCTCCCCCCACCGCCTGCACAGCCAGCCCACAGCACCAGGACGAAGCACCGGCACCCAGTACCAGCACCAGCAACCATTCCCCACCACGTGCACAGCCAGCTCACAGCACCAGCACCAGCACCGGCACCGCACCCAGCACCAGCACCGGCGCCAGCAACCTGTCTCCACCACGTGCACGGCCAGCTCACAGCACCAGCGCCAGCACCGGCACGTAGCACCAGCAACCTGTCTCGAAAGCGCGGACGGGCAACCCATTGTTATTTGAAGTAAAAACCACATAGCTTTGCTATCTGGGCAAAAATCGGGCAAATGTCCTTGGCATTGGCCCGTTGTTGCATCCAACTCCCATCCCTGGTCTCCATCGGAGTCTCCATGTCACATCTTGTGCACTCAAGCGTGTTGGAGGAAGATGCAAGGCCAAATGCATGTGGTGACCAGCCAGTAGAGTGGACAGCAGCACCCCTAGGCCCTAGTCTTCCAGCTTGATTTCAATAAGACATTGGAAGCAAACCTAGGCAGAGGACGACGATGCATGGGAAGCGGAAACTGAACGTGACTACTATGCGGCGTCAGAAGCTTGGAAGTAGGCGGTTTAACCCCTCACACGTCCAACCAAGCTTGAACATGTTGCAATTTGTACCGCCAAGGTTGGAATTGACCCGTGGGTCACACATCTCTACAAGCCGTGTGCGGGCTGCGTTCCCACCTCGGTATACAAAAGAACCTGGGGCAGTCAGCGCTTGAAGTGATATTTTGTTTAAAACGTGTGTGGTCAGGTACCACAAGTTGGCGCGGAAATGGCACCCATACTTAGGCAACCTTCGCTCCTTGACGTCACATTATACTGTTGGATATGATTTTTGTTTGACAGGTTGCCCGGACGAGGCTGATGGTGAGTCTAAGATCGACAACCATGCAGTTCTGCGGCGGTACGCTTCTCGGTTTGGAGGCCGTCTATGAGAAGCTTCATGTTCTTCAGTTTCTGATGATCGAAGGTTCTGGGCCATTTCCGAGGCCTTTGGAAGTACTCGGTCCAAGTTTTCCGAATCATTGCGGGCATAGGTTCACTCTGAAACATGACCAACTCAGCAGGCCTACTTGGTCTTGACTGACTCGGAAAGGTGAGCAAGATGCGAGTGGCAATCATGTGACAAAATACAACAAAAATATTAAAATGAAGGGAAGGGTTTCTTTAAAGGGCCCTTATTAAAATTGCCCTTATTTTGTGTTTTTTGTCAAAAGTTTTTGTTGTCCTCTTTGTAGTTATGACTGGAGAAACTGAGGCGTCGCATCTATGATGAATGTGGCTTCCAAAGCCTTAAGCAGAGCGAGTCTTGTTGCTTCCTTGGACCATTGGGTTTCGCTGTTCATACTACTCCTTCTCTGTGTCATGGCCAGTTGATGGACAATTGACAATCACACAGAAACCATGCAAGCTTCTAAGGTTATGCGGAATCGGTTTTTGAGAAGGAGATTTCTTTGCTTGCCAGTATTTGATGTTGCTCCTGGTGATGGGCAAGTCCATCAACACGTTTAGTCCATGCGCGGCATGCATCATACACATATTTATGGTGCTGCCACCTTTCATCAGCTCATTCAGATTCAATCTTCCAACCTTCGCCATGTTCCCGCGCCGGTCAAAGAATGCGGCTGCGATCTTTATGGAGTTTGCGCCGAAGGTTGCCTCTGTTGAGACCTCGGCACACACATTTACAAAAGCGCACCTTTA